ATCTATATATATATATATATATATATGTGTGGTACCTATATATATATTTATATATGTGCAGTACCTATTGGAAAACACTCAATATCAGTGATAGAGATAACATATTTAGTTGAATTGATGTAAGTTTGTGATCCTGGGTTTTACACTATTTGCGAACATCAGACGATCACAAATAGCATGAAACCCAGGTCACAAACTCACATCAATCCTATATATATATATATATATATATATATATATATATATATTATCTCTATCACTGATATGGAGTGTTTTCCAATAGGTACTGCCCATATATAAATATATATATAGGTATTGCATATATATCTATATATATATATATATATATATATATATATATATATATATATATATATATATATATATATATATATATATATATATATATATATATATATATATATATATATATATATATATATATATATATATATATATATATATATATATATATATATATATATATATATATATATATATATATATATATATATATATATATATATATATATATATATATATATATATATATATATGTGTGTGTGTGTGTGTGTGGTATATATATATATATGCGGTACCTATTGGAAAACACTCAATATCAGTGATAGAGATAACATATTTAGTTGGATTGATGTTTGTGATCCTGGGTTTCACACTATTTGCGATCATCAGACGATCACAAATAGCATGAAACCCAGGGTCACAAACTCACATCAATCCAACTAAATATATATATATATATACGTATATATATATATATATATATATATATATATATATATATATATATATATATATATATGTAGTTAAACAGATTTAGCTACCCCCTCTTCTTTCATTTGCATTTGAGTCATGTGAAGAATGCAACAGCATGAAACTCCAGTAACAACTCGGGCTGTCTTTTCATTTGAATTGACGTTGTGAAATGTTTTTTGCTCTGACTTGGTAATCTGAGTCTTGACCACTTTACTGAGCCAGTAGGTGTTTGCCTTTAGGTCATTTTCTCTTTCCTTCATCAAGATTTTCTCTTGTTTAATGTGTTAGGTCTTCTGGCAAGTTGTCTGTTGGTTACACCAACATAGTTGTTTTTCTTTCGTAGTAATATATATATATATATATATATATATATATATATATATATATATATATATATATATATATACACATGTGTGTGTGTGTGTGCCTGTGTGTGAATCAATGCATTTCTATTTGAATAAGAGAAATATATCTAGTTCAGTCTACACCTGCATCTAGACAATTGTATGTAAATCATTCAAAATTAATAATTGAGAATTTGTCTGACATGTACTATCATACTTCTTTCATATTCAGAAATGTTTTTTTATGAAGTTTCATTTAACAGACTGAATGCAAATTATACGAGATTAAGTTCCCAGCTACAACAGTAGTATGGTAGAGAGAAACCCCAAATAAAAAAATTGGCTTAAAGAAAAACTTACAAAAAGATAATAAAGGAGAAAAGAAAACCTGTAAATGAATATGACAAGAAAAACGACATCTGAATGTTATTAATGTGCATTTAAGTTGTTTAATGCAAGTTTTTTCTGCAGTTTTTCATTGGCTTCATTTAATCTTTGCTGATATCTATGCTGATATGATATGAGGAGTCTTGCTCGCTTTGTTCCATGAGTGTACACTTCTCTCCATTTTTCTCTTTTCAAAAGTATATACACTTATTTATATATGAAAGGCATATACCTTGGAAAAATGCAGGATAATGGGTTGTATGTTGCTCACTTTGACATTTATGGCTAATCACAGTCCAACACAACTACTTAAAACTTTGTAAAAGAAAAAGTGCTGAACTGCTATGTAATATCAGTCTGTCTCTATGGCAGTGAATTCTGGACAATTTTCTCACAGATGAAGGATAGACTTGAGACAACAGAAACAAAGAAAAGATTGCTGAACTGCTATGTAAAATCAGTCCTTCTCTACAGGAGTGAATTCTGGACAATTTCCTTACAGATGAAGAGGATATGTAAAAGGCTGATGGTAAAGAGAATTTAAACCTTGAAGCTAGACATCAGGACTAAGGTATATTGTTTCTGATATGCAAAAAAGTCTCATGTTAAAAAGAATTTGAACATTGAAGCTAAACATCACAATGAATGTATATTGTTTCTCATATTAAAAAGGCTGATTTTAATGAGAATTTAAACAATGAGACTAAACATCAGAACTAAGGCAAATGGTTTCCCAAATGTAAAAGCAGGTGGTAAAATGAATTTAAATATTTAAGCCAAACATAATGATGGAGGTATGAGGTATTTTCTCATATGAAAAATGCTGAACCTCAGGACTATGGTAAATGGTTTCACATATGAAAAATTCTGCTGTTAAAGCAAAGTTAAACATAATAATCATTTTTATCTGTCTTTCATTCCATTCCATTCTCTAGTCTTCCCCAATTAAATATGGCATCCATGGAACAATCTTAATAAACTTCCTTATTTCATAATTGATAACTTTCTATCAGATACTGTATTCACATGAAGAATAGGCTAATTGAAGCGCTCAGAAAATAAATAAATAAGTGAAGATAATGAGACAAATGGGAAAATGAGAATGAGAAGACTTTACTGAGGAGAAGTGAGGAGAAAAGACAATAAAATGAATAGGGTTCAGGAATACAGAAGATGGTAATTGGCATTGCTTTTAAATTTTTGAAGATTGTAGGTGACAGGGAAGCAAGGATTATTGGAAGGAAATTCCACAAGCAAGATGTACAAGAAAAGAAAGTATTAAAATAGAATATTCAGTTGTCAGTTGAATAGTAAAACAGACCTAATTACCAATCTAGCAGCATGCTTAAATTCATGTAGTACCAAAGATGACATTTCAATTTCAGAGCAGGTGCCATGAAAATATTTATAGAAAAGACAAAAGGAAGCAATGTCACATCAGTGAGAAAGTAACTGAAGTTGAGATGCCTGGTCAGAATTGATTACATTACAGATTACTCATATGTCAAATCAATTTCCCCCATTGAATTGAATTAAAATATCATTAATCCATTCTGGACACTCCCCACCCAAACAATTATGGAGAGGTTCAATTCCTGCACATAATGATGAATAGAGGTGTCTGGATTTTTGGCCACATTTTCATGCACTGCAGCAATGTTTTCAGCTGAACGGCGTGAACAAGCATGCAATGGTACTTTCACATCTGCCACCGACCCAGTTTGTTTAGATTTACAAACAATTTTTCCAATTGCACTCTTGAAAATTCGACAGTTGAACTTAATTCACATTTAAAATCGGTCCAAGTTACTGGAACACCCTTTATGATAAAACAGTTTTTACAAACAAGAAAGTATATCTTGTCTGGGAAAGAGTTATATTATAAAAAGTGATCAATACACTGTTTAAAAAATAAAAAATGTTGAGCTGTTTAATATTTAAAATACTAAACACACTAAAAATCCAGAAGTGTGATCCATCTTTTAGGATAAGACATAGATAAAATGTTCAGTCACCAAGTGAGAACTGAACTATCAGAGCTGACCAAACCCCAAGAGTTAGGTATTAAATTAATCATAGTGTTAGAATAATCAGTCACCAAGTGAGGATTGAAATGTAGGATTTATACAGTCCTCTAAAATTATCTTAAGATAAAATGAGGTTTTGCATTGGTGAACAACAAATTGCTTTTAATCTTTCATGCATGGTAAGAAGAATAGACTATATTCATGCTTTTATCTGCCTAAAATAGATTACATTATATCAAAATGATATGGCACACGACTAAGTAAAGTTTTGTGTTCTTTTAAGTTACCTATGTTGCATAATTAAAAGAAAAAATAAGTCTCCATTATTTTTCTGTCATACAACTTTGATCTTTCTTTTCCTCTTTCCACCATATTTTTTGAATCTGTAACAATCTTGAAGAACAAAGAACTCAAATCAAAAATGATTAAACTAGAACACACACACAAAAAATATAAGCTGGTATTTTTTGTGGAATGATAACAAACAGAATTCTACCCAAAATAAAAAATTAAAAAAAGGAGACCATATAATTATTTCATCCAAATTCAAGTCCAAATTCAATTTCTTTTGTTTCAGACAAATTATCATGGTTCACCGACTGTAAATTATCTTGAACCAATATGGGCTTTTAAATTTGCCTGTCTTGTCCAGTCAGTCCATGTCAAGTTGCAGGGCTGTGAGGGTGGGGGACTGTTGTAGATTGGGAGATGGTGAGACATTTTTCCTCCCCTCTAATAACTATAGCTCTATCCCCCTCCATCTATCTGGACATGAATAATTCAAATGTAATTTTTCTCCTCCTCAACTGCTCTTGGATTTAACGCAATGAATTATTCATTGCCAACCATTATCAAACCTCTCCAGTCTTGACTCGACCAATTCAGTGACCGTTGCAGGTTCTGTTTTCAAGCTGAAATGCTAGGGTTATCCATATCCTTTGCAAAGGAACATGCAACACAAATGCAACAAGCAAGAGATTCACATGCATGCACGCATTTAAAATCTTCCTGTATGATATATACAGAAATGGCAAAAACAACAGTGCAATGCATGCAGCTGTGCACATGTATGGATGCAGACTTGCATAAAACTTATTTCTTTCTTTCCTTAGACTAATTACCAACCAAAGCTACAAAGCCCATTCTACCCTGTTATTATCCCCTGTGATAGAGGCGATATGGCTTTATACTGTTTCAAGTGTATTTGTGGGAAAGTGAAGACAATGACTTCAGATTGAATTTGAACTCCACACACTGATTCAACTTTCAGGATTGTGGCATACCAATGAAAAGACATTTTGTCAAGACAATCTGCAAGTGAGACAAAGTGCAAGGGGAAGTGGATTGATGCTTCAGCCTGTTTCTTTCTTCTTGGATAGTAATTGCTGTCCCATCCTTGAACTCGCTATTAATGTAATGTGCAGGAAGAGATGTGATGTAGCATTCCACCCCTGAAGCAGAGACTATGTCAGAAAACATTGCACAGTCATCCAAAGTCTGCTTTTCAGATGAAAGCGTAATACTTATCTATCAATTAATCTGTTTTTTTGTATCTATCTATCTATCTATCTATCTATCTATCTATCTATCTATCTGTAAATGTAATCATTACCATCTATCTAATAACCATTAGGATTATAGAATAAACCAAAAATATGTGACCATACTACCAATAATGACCCATTGTTGAGCATATATAATCAAGGCAAAACACAACACACATGGCCTGAACATTGCATTCAAGCATGAAACAGACTGTTGAGGCTCAGTTGTGACTTGAGTATACACTGTTATATTTGCATATGCTCTATCCTTGATATTGAGCACTTTTACCATACCTATCCTATCTATCTATCCTCCTCTCTCTTGCTCTTTATATATATATATATATATATATATATATATATATATATAGTTATTTTAAAAAAATATGATTTCATTGCTGCATAAGAGGTTTCATGTTTCAAAAACAGAAGCTAAAAAACCACCTCTGTTTTATCCTCAAGTGAATTTTGGAATAACTAATCTTGAAATTTATGGGGCTTTATAAGTATATACATTTATACATTTGTAATATTAATTACATGGAAATGACAAAACCTATTATTTTAATAAGGGGCGTAAGGGTTAACATATTGTATCAAAATATTAGTTACTTTCAGAAAGAAGTCAAGTCAAAGTAGGGTTGGGATGCCTGGTCTGTTTCAATGACAGAGAGTTATTGGCATTATTGTTATGCCAATAAATTCGTATTTTTATACCTTAAGATTTTTTTTTTTTCTAAAAGGGTTGTTTGTACATAAATATGCCGTATTGAACTACAATTTGTTTTTTGATGACTTCATAAATGTTTTTTTTTATCTTGAGCTTTTAAACCTTTTGCTTTAATTGAAATTGTTTATAGACTATGAAATTTAAAAAAATTTAAGCTAATTACTTAAGGCGGAAATTTGTTGATGTCAGCAAAAAAACTGTTAACTCATGTCTATGATTTAATAAATTTTCGTTTTTTAGAAACTTAATAATGTGTAGTTTTTCATGTAGGCATAAAGGGCATGGGTCATCCCAGGTTTTACAAGTTCTTGTTCTATTTATTATTTTCCATTTTACTTTTGGTGTTTTATTCATTTCTTATATTTGTACACATAGATACATATACATACATACATACATACATACATACATATATATATATATATATATATATATATATATATATATATATATATATATACACACACACATATATATATATCCATACATACATACATACATACATATATATATATATATATATATATATATACACAAACTCACACAGAGATATATATATATATATATATATATATATATATATATATATATATATATACACACACACACACACACACAGAGACATATATATATGTCAGTGGATACTTTTATTTGGGTAGATGTTTCATTTATTTATTAACCAGTATTTATTTTTTTTCCTACATGTCTAAATATTCAAGAAATTTTATTAGGAAATTATATACACTCTGGCAGGATTTGAACCTGTGTTGCTCTAGGGGAAACCATGATTAGATCTGACATGCTTTGACTTCATGACTATGGAAAGTAAATTCTTAGTAGTGACTTTAAACAGATTTTTCTCTGATTTTCAAAATAAATATATCTGCTCAGTTTTGTATCTGAATGTAAACAAAGCAATTTATAAAGAAAGGAATGGATATTTTATTTATTAATTTGACAGATTTTATTACTTAAATATTACTCATATATGAACATCCACTAAAAATTAATGTTTAAGTAATAAAAATCTGTTTGATTAATAAATAAAAATCCATTTTTTTTTATTATATATATATATATATATATATATATATATATATATATATATATTCTTAAAATAGTGCTCAATACAGAGTAGAGTTAATACAATTATTTATTCAAAATTATAACATAAATATGTTATAAAATCACTTATATTTATGTTATAATTTTGAATAAATAATTATATATATATGTATATATATATATATATAGAGAGAGAGAGAGAGAGATTTATGATCAAGTTTTAATTCAAATATGGATTAAATCTGACAATGATTAGCTAAAGAACATATAGGGAACATTTATCAATCTATCATGTTTCATTTTTATTAAAGCTTCATCTGAAGCTTTAATAAAAGTGAAAAAAACATGTTACATTGATAAATGTTTCCTATTTGTTCTTTATATATATATATATATATATATATAAGTGAACATTGAAGTCAACACTCAGAGGTGACAGGCTGTTTCATGCTAGATGCAACTGGGCAGCCTAGCGGTTGCATCTAGCATGAAACAGCCTGTTGCCTCTGAGTGTTAATTTCAGTGTTCACTTTTATATTTATATTTACATATGCTCTATCTCTGATATTGAGCACTTTATCCCATAAATATAACATACCTTAAAACTTCATATATATATATATCTATATATATATATATATGTATATATATATAATGTATAATATGATAAAGAACAAATAGGAAAACCTTTATCAATCTAATATGTTTCACTTTATTAATGCTTTGTCAGAGATTGAGAGAAAACTGACAAAAAGACAGAACTTTGGTATTTTCAATGTTGTTTGCTTTGATTCTCATTGGTCAGTCATGTATCATGAGCATTAAAACTATAGATAATTTTACATGTAGCAAGTTTTTGAAAAATATGATATGCCTAAGTGGGCATCAGATGGTAATGTGTATTCATAATTGTGAATGTGTGTCTGTCTAGCAGGAGGAGTTCTAATATTTTTACTTTTGTGTCATCATTTATTTATTTTCATTTACCACCTAAGGTGCATTGAGCTAAATGACGATCTCCTCTTCTCTAAGGGACACAGGTTCAATTCTTGTTGAAGAACACAAATTTTTTTTACAAGATTTCTTGAACCTTCACGCCAGTAGGTGAATATAAATAAATATACTGTTTTATACATAAACAGAGCACCTACTCAAATGCAAGTAGCCACTAATAATGGCATTTAAAGTGATAATATATATATACATATCTATCTATATATATATATATATATAGTAAAAATGACAGACAAGGTATAATGATTGAGCTTTTTATTTAATTTTTCTTGAGTTTGAATAAGTGCCTTCTTTTTTGGATACAGGGTGTGTAGAAACTGTCCAAATGTTCTATAATTATGAGCACTTTTGGCTATACTTTTAGCCATTGTTAACATTGATTTAATTTTTTTAGTTTAATTGAGTGTGTGCATTGCGTGTATGTTTTTAGTGTTATAGAGATGTCTTATTTTCTGAACATAGTTAGCACATTGTGGCTGTGTTTGTAGTTAATATTGTTAAGTATTGGCTTTTTCTTTTTTATTATCAGGGCTTCCATTATTTTTAATCTTTTTTTACAGGTGGATGAGGTTATTATGTTTGTGTTTTCTACTAGTATGTTTCAAATGCAGTTTGGTAAATTTGTGTCTGTGTTTAAACGGGTTCTAATAGAGCTGTGGCCAGATTGGTGTAATGTAAGATGTCTAGATGGGCATGTAGTCATGTGACCGATGTAATTATTTATGAATCCAGTTTGATCAGGAACATAGTTCCTTAAGGGGCATTTGAACTCATATAAATGTTCGTTTATTGTAATTTTGATTTTGCTGCTGTGTTGTTATTTTTGAGGATAAGGTTAGCTGTTTTAAATTTTTTATAGTAGATAATTAATTTTATATTTTTATTTGGGTCAATTGGAGTAGTGTATTTCTTTATAATATTTCTAAGTGAAGATTCATCTTGTTTGTAGTTAATATGCATTTAGTTTTGGCAGAAAATATTAATGTAATTTTTGACTGTATGTTCACTATTGTTATTTACTTTGGGGAGAAATAGTCTAATTTGGTGGTCTATAAAGTGTTAAGGGAAGCCATTATTAATTAGTGTCTGTTTTACATTATTGAGTTCTTTAGAAAAGAGTAGTCAAGAGGATGAATTCTGGGTTTTTTTTATGACTGCTATTTTGTATCTGAATGGGCATTCACTTTTAAAGTTAAGATAGTAAGAGTTTCTGCTAGTGGGTTTTTTATATAAATGAGGTGATAAAAGGGTTATTGCTATATTCTATGAAAACATCTAAGAATGGGAGTTCGTTTTCATATATATATGTGTGTGTGTGTATTAATTCTTTAGAAATATATACCATTTACTATCCCTCCTAATCTCTGCTCTACCATTCATTTACACAAACATATTAGGTACTCTTAGGTTTTGAATAAAAGAGCAGTTTGGAACAAGTGAATCAGGTGCATTGGAAAATCTTTAAAATCTGAGTAGGGGATCTCATTTATCTAGTATTCAGTTTATTTGAATGAAATTATGGTATGTAAACATATGGCACATTATTTAAAGAGAGTTAAAAAATTTTCTTCTATATCAAATTTTTTACCACAAACGAACGTCGACTTTACAAAACATGTTTCTAATGTCCTTCATTTGTTATTCTCTTCTTTCTTGTACATTGTTGTACGTAGCTATGAACCGAGATATGAAACATTGCCATTTCCTACACATCAAGCCATCCAAATGTTCTTTTCTCAGCCATATCTTTTATATTTAAAATAACATGGAAGGGTGGCATGTTACACAACTAAAATATTGTTTTGATCTGTGATAATTTGAATTAAATTTTTATGACTGAATGAATTATAATTTGAATGAAGTTTTAGAATATGTATCGAATCAATTTCACAAGTCTAAATGAGAATTTTCAGAGAATTTAATTTTTTTTCTAGGATGCTTCAACAAAAATAAATAGCTTGTGACTTAGAATAAGAGTGGAGGATATTTTAAATGGATTTACCTCAAGCAAGGCAGTAAAGCCACTAAGACACAAAGGATTACTGGGTTTGAAAGAATTAGAAAGCAGAAAGATTACTAAGGAGCAAGAACAAAAGAAGAGTAATCAGGAGGACAGATAATCAGATAATGAGTGGCATTCCATTTAAAGTTTTGAAGATTAAAGTTAACTGAAAAAAAAAATGGACCCAGACATATGAAAGAGAGAAGTGTGAAAAAAGAAACAGTTAGCATAGAACTTATGGTTACA